TCTTTTTTTCACGTTAAAATCGCATCATATCATTTCAACTTTCAACAGATTATAAGTGGCGTTTATACGGAATATAATTGAACTCATAAAACAAGCTGTTTTCCTCGTTGGAAAAATTCCAGTCGCATACAAGATTTAACTTAATTAGAATCATACGAATCGAAAGCGTAAAGGTATAAGATAATACGAAACAAAAATGAGTGCATCAAGTAACATTTTCAAAAATAATTATTATCTACCCACACATATGTATTCTATCACAAACGAGATATCTGTTCTCAAAACGTCGTAGTTTGCAACTTTTGCAAAATACTCCGTAAATAGTATTTTACGCGTCATCGGGTTTTGTTAACACTTATCGCTTCGTTTCGTATGAACTTTAGTCGTACTGACTTAGCGTCAGAATAGATAAATATTCAAAAAATTATACGATAAAATACTCGCCACCATTTAACACAGTTTTTTTCAACCGTATACATATCGCACGATAATATAATTTTCACATAAAATAAATTTCCATAAAAAAAAGAAGTGATGCAGCATTCTAAAATCGGAGAACGATGTCTCAACGTTTATCTCATCACAAAGTATAAATAAACGTGCAAATGTCTCATTCTGAATTAATTTACCGTCATGAAGAAAATTTTATGAAACGTACAAATTTTACAGAATTTTTAACAGATAACGATTTGCGGAGACGTTCTCGTTATCAGGAAAAAGTGCTGTACACTTATCACAGTAATGTATCAAATATTCAATCCTTCCACCAGTGCAAAAGAAATTATTCTCTTATATACATGTATATAAATGCAACATTTTACATATTATAATAAATAAAATTTTTTGCAAACACAATACAGTTATTAAATTGTTTTAAAATTTTGTGCAAACAAATAAGAATTTGATATGAAGTAGCTAATTATTTCCTCTCAATTTGTAAAAAATCCAACAATGAAGTATTATTAATTATTCGCTAATTATATTGTTAATTATTATTCCGCTTTTTTCTAATAATTATTGATGGAACAATTATTATTTCGTCATCCACAAGAATAATGATGATATTTAAATATCTATAATTTTATATATTAGACTTAAAAAATATATAATCAACTTTCGAAATTAACATTAAAAAAATCAAATTTTTATAACATTTTATATAATGATTTGTGTATATAATGTATTAATATACTTCTGTAATTTTTTTAGAAACTTTAGATCACTTGATATTTAAAACAAATTAAGTGTAAGATATTAAAGAATATTCTATTGATTTGCTCGTTAAAAAATACGAAAAATTTCATGAATTTTCGTTGACTCAACAGCAACCTTCTAATCTAATTTTTTTTAGTTACTGATAACAGAAAGTTTACAAAAAAAAGTGAAGCATCGAAATCTTCGTTGCGCAACAGATAGAGCAACTTCGCGCACGTCGATGCATACAACATATCATATAAACGATATTATCGACGTGTGAATAAATATTACGTATTCAAATGCTTCCGCATCACGGAAATACATAAGAATCTGCATATCGGAATACACAAAAATCCCGGAAAAACAGCATGAGTAAGACATGAATAAACATTGTGATAACATCGTGAAATGAAAATTACTTTGATAAAGTGAATTAATAAATAGTTTTGCTATATCTACATTTTTACTACATCTTACATTTTGAATACCTTTTAATGTGTACACAATCTTTCAAATTTTTAATTAAAATAATTTATAATTGGTCAAATCAATTAATTAATTAATCGACTAACAAAAATCCTAAACCCAAAGAAACAGATAATGCATTCCTTAGAAAATTTTTCAACTGTTGAAAGTAAAGAGATTTGTTACTCATCATAGAAATATTACAAAGCATTTCGTTATTAAACAATCATCTCTCACAATCGATTTGAATTTATTAAATTCAATTTTTCCTATAATTCTAAAAAAACATATTCCACTAATTTTCGACAAGGATTATTTTCGCGCGTTTCAGCACGGGAATCCCATCTTTGTAGAATCGCTGATTTCGCCATGTGATGGAAACCCACGTGGCTTTTGTATGACTCATTCATTATTCGCTCGCTCGTTCACTCACCCTGGATGAAATTTGGCAGTCTGAATTGCAGCGCGTCGTACACGGGTAACGGATGGGTCATCGGGCACGGATTACATTCCTCACGCATATGTAGGATCTATAAGTCTTTGGACTGGTCGCTCCGACACTCCAATCCAAGCGCGAACGCTCGTCTTTCCTGACTGCCGACAGTGCCGACGGACTCGTCGCCAGCTGGCAGTCAGTATTTCCATTTCCTTTCCTCTCCGTCTTCTCGTCATCATCAATTCGCCCCACTATAAGCCGTGTCGTTGGGCCGCGTCAGGGTCTTGACATTGAAGTCAAAGCGATGACTAAAGTTGAATAGAGAGTACAAAAAAGATGTCTGAATAGACCCATAGAAGTTATATGAAGAATCTCGAGAAACTGCACCGATCGACCATTGATTTCAATTTAAGCATGACTGAGAAATATTTTTAAAAAATACAACGATTGAGCGAATAACTTCTTAAAATTTACAATAATTTTTATGTCGATGCAGCAGAATGCAAACGTTAGGAAAAACTTAACATAAAAAGTTCAGACAGTATACAATGCAATAATTTCAAAAAAGCTTATTTTCACAATAATACAGAAGTTAAGTAAAGAAATTATAAATACATTATAAATACATTATAAACATTTACATTAATTTACATTTAAATACATTATATACATTTGTGATATTTTTTTTATAGAAAACATAAAATGTTTCTTATGTATTAATTTTTCAATAATAGATAATATTTTAATATTTTTACACAGAAGATTATAAAATTAAAATCTCTAATTGTGTGCGTGATATAATAAAAATAAATTCCTTTAAATATATATGAAATGGGTTCATAATGAAAGATAGGAAACATAACAAATTTTATCAATGTGCGACTTCATGGATCAGATCCAATTTCTCTTCAGATCCAAGTTGTCATATCTATTATTTAAAATATAAGTTGTTTACTGCGAATAGCAATTTTATGAGCTATGATTGATTTTAATTGAGAGCCTTAATTGTTGAACGAGGGCAGCTGTTTCGCCGTAGGCGCTTCATAGGCGCGTCATGACGAAGCGATTATCAACAATATTTGAAACGCAGATTCCATTGATTACATTAAAGATAAAAATTAAAGAGTTTCCTCAAGTTTAAATACTCATCTTTGAAAATGTTACAAATTCTATCTTGCAAAAAAAAACTGAAATATATTTTTTATGTAAAAATCATGTTATTTTAATACTATTAAATTTACGAAGTGCTTAGCTTATGAGTATTTCGCAACACTAAAATTTTCGAAATACATTTCTCAGGAATTTTGCATTAATAGTCTACAATTTAATGATAATTATTTTAATATGAAAGTGTTTGCACATTTCATTGATTACTTGCGTAGCAGATATAATGTTGATTAGAGAAAAAAATATCTTCACGATTGTCATTCTTAAAATTTGTCTCGCATAAATTGTTTCCATTAATAATGCGTAATATAAAGAGTCTCGGCCGCAATAAGTCCCGCGGAATTTCTTGATTGCAGTTCGGTCACAAGGCACGCTCCACAAATGGAATGCAATATAAGTTCCTCGAAATATATTCGTATATGAAGACATTCTCCCTTTTTTCACATAGGATAGTGAGACCTAACAGAATCTAAGAGACCTTTCTTAATTCTAAGTCGTAGATTCTTCGATCGATCTGAAATCAATTTTTCTTTATTTACTTATGTTCAAATTATATAGAAAATTATTCCTGAAATTTAAATGGAAATTAATAATAAATTTGTGTGTGTGTGTGTGTGTGTGTGTGTGTGCGCGCGCGTGTCTATGCGTATGTGTGTGTGTGTACAGAGTATAACATAAACATAATATAAATCTCCTAAATGGTAATTATTAATAATTTATAACAAAATAATAATTAAGATATTTGGCTTTCAAATTGCAAACAATTAAGAATCGAAGACTCTTTTGTGAATTTTTCGGAGAAACATCCAATATATGTATATATATAAAACACGCTCTAAATTGACAATTGATAATTCCCTTCTTTTTTTATCAATCAAATTATTGGAAATAATCGTTATCTATCTAATCAACTTAAGATGAGATTATTATAAATTAATTTTAATTTGAAATCAAAATCTCATCAAAAAAACAATAATTAGAAATTCAGAACAAGGCTAATGAGAGTCTAACGCTTATGTAAGAGCGAAGAGTTATGAGATGCAGATAATACTCAGGTGTTGGCGGTTGTCTTCATTTATTGTATATTTATTGTTTCGGCTCATTTTGGAGTCTTCAGCGAAAAAATAGAATATAATACATCGTTGAAAGTAAGTCGGATTGACAGAAATACAGTAATCAATACGCTCAACGGGAAACAAAGAAGTTCACAAACATTGGTTCACAATTTTCATAAGATATAAATTAAAACAAATCATTCCTCGGATTAATATGTCAGTTCATCTTGGTGTGTCGTTTGAAATGAATATTTATATATTTATATATTTATGTAATTGTTCAAAATGTCATCTCTCTAGATTACATATTTGCATTATGGATTACAGCACTTTAGAATGTTTAAAATAGAAACGGATTAAAATTCATGATTACAGTAAATAATTCAATAAAACTAATTCATCTTAAAAAAACGTAAAAATTTTTGTATATCTGTATTCTTCTCTATCATATTGTAATAACTATAAAAAAATTACTTACATTAAACAAATTATAAATTGTCTTAATTTTTTGGAGAACGTATATAATGCAAGCAGAATACAAATATTTAATGTAATAAATAAGTGTATTATGTATATATATATGTATATTTTATTTAATATAATAAATAAAATTTGCATTATAAAGTCTGTATAACATTTCCTTCTATTTTTTTAATGAATTAAAACAAATAACGATTAGGTATATAAACGATCTCGATAAAGTGCGAGAAGCTGTGATCTGCAAACTATTCCCTTCGAGCTTGCGCATCCTGCGTCATTCCGCAAGTGGAATCCTGCGAGATACGAAAGTTCACACAGGAAGGATCCTCAGTGCAGATTCATCCTTTGCGGACTCCGTAGTACAACTTCATAAATCTCGTAAATGATATTAAAGAAATCAGACTAAATTCGATATAAAATCCGAGTCGAGTTAATAAAAATCCAAATTGAAGCTGAAGCTCGGCGAGTTTACTCGCTGAATCGCTTCGTAGGGAGATTTAAAGAAGATTTAATTACGTTAACAATGATGTTGTTTCTGTTAATCACTCTCGCGAGCATCCATTCGGGTTGGTCTCAACGTGATTCTTCGATGGATGCAAATTTAGCTAGAAACGCGGTGCATACGATTCCACTGGGTTCGGAGGTGACTTTTCATTGGAGGTGCGATTTTGAACAAGATCGATTGCAATTACAATTGTTGGCAAAAACGGATATGATTTTAATTATTTTGGAACTTATACGTAAGCTGTCCATGCGAGTGTATGATTTATTCATTTTTCAATTTTCTTACTTAAAAGCTATATGTCGTTATATTTATTGTCTTGTCTTATTACAATATCTTTATTATAATTAACTTCAACCTATACAGATATGATTACACAAATATGATTAAATCAACGATAGTATTATGCGTGTAAAATATCGGGTAATCGTTACAAGATTTATTGCGCGAAATCGAAAGTTAATTCATACTTAAAAATCTGTACACGGCCCAAACAAAATGTGATCGATTCGTACTTGTATAACAACCAAGTCTAGAAATTTTTGTTAGCAGATTTCTGTGTTGAAATTGGGAAAAACTCCTATTAATTGTTGTATAATACGGTTTTCCTAATTTTAATACGGCAGCAACGGTACACTCTAAATTCTCCTTTTTTTATTTATATTGTTATAATTTCTAGAAATTTTTTTCTCAAATTTTTTTTTGCCGTTGCTTTTTAGAGTGGATCTAATGAACAAGCAGGTGATCGCAGAAGTTCATTTTGTCGGTAATGATAGCAGCTGGTTCGCGATCGGATTTTCCGACTACGGAGAATTAAAACCAGCTGATTACTGTGTTTTATGGTCCGACTGGCACCAACAAATTCACTTTCAAGTAAAATATGCGATGATATAAAATATATTAAATCGAATTACATATGAAAGATTGATTTTATCCTTGTCAATAATCGGCAGGATTCGTGGGCGGATGTTGACGGGAAATTACATCTGGACACCCAGCAAGACTGCGATAACTTTGCGTGGAGAAGACGCGGTAATATCACGAAATTCACATTCTCCCGCAAATTCGATACTTGCGATGAGCATGATTATATCATTGAAGTGAGTATGATTTACGTATCTACGTAACTTGAAAAACTTGCGAAACTTCAAAAGTCTATGGCCGCCCTGGTGAAAATTTTTCTTATAATTTTTATACAAATTGGGATATTTTTCAGAAATACTCAGAAATATTCGGAAAGTTTACATCTTCTATCAAAATTTTTCATAAATGTGAATTCTGAAATATTCTCAGATTTCTCATCCTATAAATTTAAAAAAAAATATTTTTAAATTTTTTAGATTTTATAACATTTTATCAGAAATTATACTTACCAAAAATCTTAGAAATTTTATGATATGTCATAATTAACATATATGAAAAATTCTGAGAAAAAATATAGATTTTCTAAAAAGTGTTCCAATTCGTATAAAAAAAATATTATAAAAGTATATAGAAATTCTAAAAAAATTATATGAAAAATTCTGAGAAAAATTTTCACCAGGACGGTATTTATAGTCGGTTCTTATTTCAAGACCGTCTTAAGTAATGTCTTAAATCGCTAATGCAGTCCTCTGATTGGTTCATGACATCTCAAAATAGAACTTAAGAAAGTCTTAAATAAGATCTAACTATGAATCCCGGCCTAAAATCGTATTCGGCGAATTGTTATTCGTAATCTGAAATTAATTTAATAAGTTAACAATAACACTATATTGTGAATTTTAACTTATGCACAACTCTAGCGCTTGACTCTCATTTGCCCTATTGTTCTATTGTTTGAAATAAAATATTCGTTTCTATAGAGAGGCACAACGCACCTAGTATGGCTTCGCGGTCGTGGACCGTTGTCGTCCTTGGCTGGTCTCGAGATATCAGATGCGAAAGCATCGGGTATGTCTCGTACGGAGCTTCACAGGGTGTCCCATAAAAAGCCCAAGTTCCCCACGAATGCCTGGCAGCTCGAGTTACTCGCTCATCGGGTTCAAGTGCCAAAGAAGGAGACTACCTATTGGTGCCGTGTGCATAAGTTGCCGTCAGCATTAAGACAGAAGTGCGTATTAGATGTACATAATAAATTGATGAAATACCTGTATACTAATGTCTTTTATATTCATCATTAACTCTATCTAGATTCTTTATTAATGCTTTTATCAAAATTGGATCTTTTAATTCTAAAGATTTAATAAATATAAATATATAAAGATATAAATAAAGAAAAATATTTACCGGTAGGCATCATATCCTACAATTTGGTCCTGCTATCCAAGCGGGTAATGAACATCTTGTACACCACATGGAAATCTTTCATTGCGCCGGACCTGTGGATTTAGAAGTGCCAATGTACGATGGACCTTGTGACGGAGCAGATAGACCCGAAAAAACGCAGGTGATTGTCTTCTTCAAATGATAAATGCGCAGTGATACTCATTTTAAATCATTTAGATTTGCAAGAAGGTGTTGGCAGCATGGGCGATGGGTGCTGATGCGTTTATATATCCGGAAGAAGCTGGTTTAGCCATCGGCGGAGCTGATTTCAATCCACATGTCATGTTGGAGGTACATTACAATAATCCCGAGTTGCACCAAGGCGCTATCGACTCTTCCGGAATTCGATTTATTCTCACTAAAACACTCAGGAAATACGACGCCGGTGTTATTGAGCTCGGTCTCGAGTACACCGATAAGATGGCCATACCTCCGCAACAGGTGAAAAAACTAATTGATTGTAATTTTTGAGAAATTTATGCTAATACATGTAATAAAATAGTTAAATCTACGCAACAAAGTTCGTATTATAATTTTACATTTATACAAATATTCTATACATAAAAATTATTTAAATAAATGCATACTTTTTATTTCACAGAAAGTCTTAATTAAAGTCTCCAATTAAATTGATTCAAAACTCATTCATTTAGCTTTAATTTATGTTTACAATTTTGTAAATCTCTTTTTAAAAAAGAGATGGAGCAGGAAATTTAATAAAATCAAGTGTTATTTAGGAAGCCTTTATGCTATCCGGTCACTGTATAACGGAATGCACCGGAGTCGGATTGCCTCAAAGTGGCATTCGCGTTTTCGGCTCTCAACTGCATACTCATTTAACGGGTACCAAAGTTATCACTCGTCATATAAGGAACGGCGAAGAATTGCCACCGATGAATTACGATAATCATTACTCCACACATTTCCAGGAAATCAGATTGTTGCCAAAACCGGTGGTTATCTTGCCTGTAAGAAAATTAACTAAAGTAAACAAATATAGAAATAAAATAGATAATAAATTTATTATTATCAAACATCAAACATTAAAGATAATAATAACAACAAACAACTGAGAATCTTATTAAAAATTAAATAATTTACAGGGGGATTCTCTGATTACTACATGCACTTACAACACTATGAAAAGAGATAACGTGACTCTCGGCGGCTTTGCTATATCCGATGAGATGTGCGTTAATTATATTCATTACTATCCCAACGCGCAATTAGAGGTAAATTAAATTTATTAATAAAAAGAAATTAATAAAGAAATATTAAAGTGAGTAAATTCATTCGTTCGCATGGATTCTTTAGAACAAAATATTCATTTAATTAGTTAAAATATATAAAATTCCATGTTACAATTAGGTATGCAAAAGTGCCATAAGCGACGATGCACTAAGAACGTATTTTCGTTATATGCGAGAATGGGAAAGTCAAGGGACCAGTACGGAAAAGAGTATCTCGGCGAATTATAAGAGCATTGAGTGGACCAAGGTTCGCGTGGAAGCTCTTCACGATCTTTATGAAGCTGCGCCTCTAGGTTCGATCAATAGTTAAAAATCAGACGTATTTTTTGGATTTTACTTATTTTGATTAACAACTTCATCAATTCTTTTATTCTAGTAATTTTATTTCTAATTGTAATTAAATATAACGATGTAAAAAGTATTTTTAACTATTTTTTTATCGATGTATTATTTTTATTACATCTGTGTATTTTTCTACAATAAGCTTCAATTCCCCCATCGTATAATTCTCTCTACTTCCTTTCTCTTCTGATCAACTCTTAATTAATTCATCAGGGATGCAGTGTAACAGCTCCGATGGTTCCCGATTACCTGGTCTGTGGAATAATATTGCGGCAACACCCGTTAGATTACCTTTATCACCTCCAATCAGAGATTGCCTGGGGACTTCAATCCAACAAGAGATTTCGGTTCAGATGTGAATAACGACTAAGTTAAAAATTTAAGTTATTCTATTATTCTGTTATGTGAAACACAAGTAATTATAATACTAATCCAGCATATCAAATTTAGCGTTACCTGTTGCTTCTTCGAAATCTTCTCCAAACTCGCAATATTTACTCTCACAAATTTGGTAGTGCCTCCTAAAATATTTGTTACATGTTTATAACAGGATTCCGTAAAACTAAAACTTGACTAGTATCCCATCAAGACAAGATGTAAAAAAAAATCCCAAAAATTGATCGATATAAAAGTTTATAAACCTTCAGTATATTTATCCAATTTAAGTGTTTGTTCACTTTTTGGCAGTACAGTACGCATTTCGCTGCGAACAAGCTAGATCAAATCAACAAATAGTTGTGACGATAATTGTTTCATATATATATATGTAGAGTAATAATATTAATAATAATACAAATAATAATCGATGAAACGTTTTTACACTTCGTATCAATGTACAAAAAAAGGCGAATGTTCCTTAAAAAACGACGATATCAAAATTAATCTTAATCTATGTGGTATTTCTTTACGGTATAATACATACACGGGGAAAAGGGGGGATAATACACGCATACAAACAAACAAGCACAAACACGCACGCGGTTGCCTTCATACGCACGAGATACAATAGTTGCCTTTGTTCGAGCCTAAACAATTTAATACTTCTTACATGTCTTCGTTTTTATCGAACACTCTCATCACACTTGGTTCTTTTCTTTGTTTTTTTTTTTCATTTTTGCAAACTTTGTAGACGGCCTGGCACAATACATAAGATACTCTATACCGAGTTCCGTTATTGTATCGCCAAACTCGCGTGTTTGTGTTTTGTCTTTCGTTAACTATAATATATTCTTCTATTACATATAGAGCGTTCCAAAAACATTGGCAGTATTTTGTAAAAAAAAAACGAAAAAGTTTCAAGATATATAAATCTTTTTCTCACAAATATTCTCTTCGAAAAGATTAATTTTGAAAATTAAGAAAAACATGTTTTAATTTATTAATTTAAATTCGTTTATATTCTGCATTTTTCATTTTCCATTAAAAAAATTGTATTTTTTTCATGAATTATAATTTTCGGGACACTCTATACACGTGGAAACGTAGCTTTCTCTTTGGCGTCTATTAAGCTGCATTTAGACGATAATATAAAAAGAGGGATTCACGTTAACCAAAATTACTGTCGAAAAATACCACTTTAACAGGATAAGGAGGGCTTTTCTTTTGCAGTCGTATGTCTTTTTGAGCCAAAACTCTAAGCTTCTTTGCACAAAGATTCGATCTATTGAATTCGATTCTTCGTAGAGAACTCGAGCACATGGAATGGACGATTATTACATTAAATATGTATAACAAATTTTGCACATTATGAGAAACATCGTTCCCTAAATTCCACAGAATTTTCAAGAAAAAACAAACCATTCTCTCTTTTCCTCTTTCTCTCCTTTTCCATTTTTCTTATTCTCATAAATGTTTTGTAAAATGCATGTTATTATATGAGTACACAAGAATATGGTATCCATATAAGGGCGATAGGTTGCTTCCTGCAACGGATATACAAAAGGGCTCGTATAAAAAGATTTAGATTCTCTGTTAGGAACACACGTCACGTGAAAAAGTACTTATTTTCTAGAGCACAGATGCGCCAAATTGCATATCCAGTACACAAATTTCAGGCTTCAAAAAACTTTAATCTCAAACTTTATACAAAATTTATTATTTTTAGATTTCTCCTTTAAAAAACTCTCACTCTTTAACGATTTTCTCTCTTCTTTTCTTTACAAATTTTCAGAATACTTTTAATATACAAATGTAATATAACATTTTTACCAATTTGCTTTGACTTATCTAATCCTCTCTTTGGCCAATTTCTCACCTGAAATTTCTGCACCATTACACGCTCGTCTTCATTTAAAAAATCTCATCTCAGGAAAGATCATCAATTTGATTGCGCGTGAGCGACATTGTCACGCTCAGACAATATGAAGTAGAAAAATATACATATATATATATATATATTATTGTTAATATTATACTTTATATACGTTCTATAAGAGCAGCTCGGCTACATTACTTTGCACGCGTATGGAGTATAGGAGTTTCATCCTCGTATGGAGGGTTTCATCAAAGCCACTCTATTCGCTTTAATACGTTTCCAGACTCTACTTCACGAATAAAGATACGTCATGCTAACGTCTATAAAAAAGATCAACAATGCGAATAGATTATTGTGCTAGCGCACAATACAAAAAGATATCTGACAGGTGTTTGAAGGACGGAAATTGATTATTTTAATTTAATCAAATGTATTAACAAAAAAATAATAATAAAAATTCAGTCATTTTGTTGAAATTTGTTAAAGAAAATCTTATAATACATTAAATATCTAATACAAATGAAAAGTTTTAACGCAAATGAAAAATGTTTAATTTCGTTTATGTAGAACATTATAAACCCTTTTTGACAATATAATTATTCATTTCATATAATATATATAAATGCTATATAGCATGAATTATAATATATTATAACATTTATATATATTATACAGTAAAAACAAAAACGTTTTTTAAATTCAATAAATTGATTGTAAGATTAAGTATAACAATACCGATGAGTTATCGGGCTGTTCTTCAGACACCATCATACATCGTCTTTTCGGCGTTTGCTTCATCAGGAAGAAAGTGGTCGCGTTACTGTTTTCAAATTAAACAGCAACTTTAATCGCGTTCAGAATCAGGGGACTTTGTCGACTAGAGAGATTGATTGTTCTGTTGTTGCATGTGTAACTGCAAGAAGCAGTAGAGAATGCCAGCTTGTGCCATCACGTCGACGGTACCGGCAGCGAGAGGATCGCGGCTTTTAGCGTCGCTGCGTGAGTTACTGGTGCCAGGACGCAGTAATGTGGGCCCGAACACTGTAGCGAGATTGTGCAGTGACATTTTGTTCTGTGCCTCGTGCTTATTCACACGTGCCAAGTGCGCCAACAAGAAGTCGATCACCGCTTTGTTGACGGCAGGGAAACTCTCGTAAACTCGACGCAGAGCGGCACTCTAAAGGGCATCGGTGAACAGCGCCTCCGGCATTTCACGCAGATACAATTTTAATACTCCTGTTACCGAGTGCACGTCCACCTAGATACGTTCGCATACAAAAATATCAACAATAAGAGACCATTCTGTTGCCTAACTACGAACATGAAAAATACAAGAAATACAAATGTACCTCTTTAAGTAGCTGCTCTGCTTCGTACGAATTGCTTTCGAACGACTTACGTAGCCTTGCCACATCGGATGCCGAGCCAGAAACACGATACAAACCTACCTCGCCAACACCACGTCTTTCCACTTCTCGCACGCATGCCGTTATTATGAAAGGCACATCGCGTTTCTCTCGCCTGTAAAATTGTGAGAGTATAATAATTATTAACAAATCCAATTAAAAAATATATCTTGGAACTTATTTATTTTCATAAATAAATCGAGAGAAACTGTTTGCTTAAAAAGAAATAAGAGATTTTCTGTTTATTTAAATTACGGATTTTTTATTATTTGAATATTTAGTTAATTTCTCCTAATCAAAAATTCAATGAGAAAGAAAAAAGATCAATCGACTTTTTAATTTTCTATTTCGACTTGAATGAAATCACACGTACTTGCAAACTTGTTGGATTTTGGCCCCAAATAAGCCCTGTGGCTTGGCCGATGGCACTCGTCTCAGAGTGACCTCGCTGGGAACGAAACGTAATGCTACGTCCAATGTCGCAGGTCCCAAGTTTAGCGACCTCTCCACCTGATCAGATTGGAGCCAAGATCTGCTCAATCGCTGAATGCACTTGCCTCGCAATACCGAGCGTGTACCGCATTCCTCGTACAATAGAATCCTAACGTTCTGGCTTCCCTCCAACTCTACTACAAAAGTTTCGCCTGTGTGAAAGAAAGATAATTTTAATTTAATTGAAGTAAAAAAATTTAATTAAATTTAATTAAAATAGAAAACTTTAATATATGATCATTATATTAAAAAATTTAATTTTTTTAAAATTTAATTTTAAGCATAATTTTACTTATGTTTAATAGATATCAATTTATATTTCTTATTAAACATAAATAAAATTTTATATTATACATTAATATAAAACAGAAGATTTCTCACCCCAAATCGGAGCTTGACCTCTGGCGATGCGACTTCGCGCTCTTTTGAAGTAATGTCCATAACTATCAACTTCTACAATGATATAGAGATCACCTACTCTGTCCAAACCTGGTGGAGTCAAACCGAGCAGGGTCAAATGAAGATCGCCCAGCAGCAAACTCTCATCCCGTCCTGATCTCAACAAATAGCTACCCATATCAGTTTGCAAATACGTTCGACAGGCAGTGACCCAAGCTTGCAGTTCATACATCGACAATGGCAGCTGCCCTGGAGGTTGTCCACCCTATAAAGTATCAGTAATATAAGTTTTTCAATTAGATACACACACACACAATTGAATAGCATAGCAAACTGTAATATATATTTGTAATATATGAAATATATTGATTAATCGTATCCTTAATTAGTTGACTAATAATCTTAATGAGAGATTATTAAATGACCTGTTGTAATGCCTCCACTGCCTCCACCCATTGAGAACGCTCAAATTCGCTGGACAGGAAGAAAGTGTAAGAATTTTGTACTCGATTCTGCTGACTTTTGTGCGCCACGCGAAGGACTAAGTTCGGCGAAGCTAATACCAGCTGAGCCTCTAGTTCGGCGAGTTTTTTACGATTTTTCTCCGAACCTCTGCCGCCCAGTCGGATTCGTTTCTCATCGTTTCGTTCTTCCCATAGAATTTGATCGCGTACTGTACATGCTTGCGATCTATTAAAATAATTTTGAAATTATTTATAATTTAATCAGATATTTTTTTTATTAATATAACTTATTATATTGCTATTTATTTTGGTGACTAACGATTATCTATTATGATAACCGGTTTATTTTATAGCGTATACTTTAAAATTAACATTGATGACTAATCTGATAGCATATTTTTTATAATATAATTGATAAAGCACTACTCTTCATTAATGATAGATAAAACAGTACTTACCTTAAAGCTACCACATTAGCGGGGCTAGCTTCGCGTGGCTCTATGCCGTCTTCCGTAACAGCAGCTTCTGCTACTGGCACGTACCACTTCAGTTCGAACGTGAATTTATCTCTGCCAGAGGCTTTGTACTTCGCACAAGCGATCACGTCGTTAAAAAGAAAGAGGTGTCTCAATTTCCTGTGACCGTCTGAAAGCTCGACTACAAATGAATTTTTTACCAATCTTCGTTGAGCTCTATCGTGACTCTATATAAATAAAAAAAACATCATATAGTACAAATTACATATAGTACAAATTACAGTTACATAATGTATAAAATACAAAATAATGTGTAGGATAATTTACACAAATCGTACCGGAAACATGGACTTCGTCTGAATGATATTAAATTCATCTAGAAAGTTTCTGGTCATAGCAAGAGCTTCTGATAAAGGTGCATGATCTGCATGGTTGACTGATGTATGCTTGAGAAGATCCTGAACAAAAAAGTTATCGCTATAAAATTTAAGATAAGATAAAAAGATTATAACGCAATGAAATATATTTCACACGCGCGCACGCACACGCATACGCATACGCATACGCACACGCACAGATCTGAAATTCATAGTAGTTTATCACGATTTTATCGATCGTAAAAAAATCATACAATCTACTATATATATTGGGTATGTATACATGCTGTAGATATGTGTGTGTGTGTGTGTGTGTGTGTGTGTGTGTGTGTGTGTGTGACAAGTTACTTACATGTAAAACTAAAGCGTTCTTTTGCACTCGAGCAACTGGTTTATGTAATAAATCTTCTAGAGACAAACCCGGACCCTTTGGAAAACCCCTGAGTCTTATATCTCTAGTAATCTCTCCGAATTGAGTGGAATGGGCGGAGCATCGTCGCACAGTATCGGTCGCGCGAGCGTAATTGTGTAAAAACGCACCATATAATCCTATATTACTGGCCATAATCTGAAATCAATGAATGAAACGTTACAATTTTCCACAGCTTTTTCTCGTCTTGTTTACTCTAATTATATCTACCTTAAATTGTTCTCCTATAGTAGTCTTACTGTCCCACTTCTCCGTCTTCTTTCGAAGACCATCCAGAAACGTCTGATGCAGAGCATGCAGTTCCGGGATCTTGTAGAACATCGTACCAAACTCCTCTTCCGAAATGACCGGTTGAGATGTCGTTAAAGTTGCCCTAATAGCTTTCATATACTGCAAAGGCAGGAAATCATTGTAAATAAATTCTTAACAACTTAGAATGTCAAGTTACATACTTGTAACATCACAGTTAAACATTCCACATATACAGCCTCGCTCTCCACTACCGAGTTCACGATACACTTGACCATCGATGTCCTGTCATCCTCGCGCTCCTTGCTTTTTTCTTGTCGGCGCGGCGTCGTCGGAGTCGGTGATTCCAAGCTACCCTCGCTTAAACTTAGCGGTTCGGCGTCACTGCTGCCGGTTTCATTGTCCGTGCTGAGAGCTCGCAGCAAGATCGGAGGCGCCGGACTAGCACCCTCTTCATCTTCGCTGTCCATCGCCGCTCTATGTCTGAAGATAACGTACACAATTACACGTATTCCGCATCTTAACTCTTAAAGGGAGTACTCGCGTGTGAATTCAACTAATAAATGTTAACATTATAACTTAAAAAATAATGTAATTAAGACGCTCGTACTCCGCTCCAATCCAATGTGTTAAAATAAAATAAGATATGACAAACGACTTACTGTATAAAATAATCGATGTTGACATAATTACTCTGATTGCCCGGAGAATCTGGCAAAGAAGGTGGTCTTCGAGTTGCCGCTTTGCTATTGCCATTGTTACTGTTGACAGTGGGAACGCGCGCGTCAATGTAAACATATTCCCCAGTTTGGTCCAAGGCTACTGAATCATAATAAGGCTCCTCCTCCGATGCCTCTGCATCGCCATCTTCGCCATCTTCGTTGATAGCCTTTTCTAAGTCTATTTAGCGAACAAATAATAATCATTATTTTTTAAATTTTATGTGTCATAAAATAATTTATAATATACATAAAATTGATGTAAAAAAACTGATGACAATAGATTTTTATAAAATTTTAAAAACAAATTGAACTATTAACTTTAAATTATATGAGATAATAAGATTAAAATTCATTTTACTTTTTGAAATTTTCTTTCTTTTAATGATTACATATAGATTATGTAACTCCAAAAGCTAATAAAAATGTTTTATATATGAAAGAGAATACCTTTCTCATCCTCCTCCTTGAGAGATTCCTCATTTTTATCTTTCTTCGAACTTCCGGTAACTTCAATCACTGTAACATAATTACTTGGCACATCTGGATCACTGTTTCTTCTAAGTTCAGGCACTTTCTCGGGACTCCTTGGTATTTCGCTCTTGGGTCGCTTGCCAGCTGTGCTGAGAGTCGAGCTCAGTTCGGACACGCACTTGTCTTGAAACTTGCTGATGTCTTCCCGTTCCGTCAAAGTAGGAGCGGACGGTCCCACGTTCTGAGAACTCGGTGAATTCGGAGAGTCCGCCAAGCTGTTCTCCGATATTTGAGAATCCTGTTGAGATTGCGTTTCTGTCGCCGCTTCCTGTTTAATTTCAGACGTATTCGTATTCACGCTGGTATTGTTAGCCAGCTGTTTGTGTCGCTCGACATCAGCCAGCAATCTCTCTAAATATTCCACATAAAACTCTTCTTTTTCGAGCTCTTCTCTCAAAGCTGTCACCTATATATACAAAAAAAAATATCGCGTGCTTTGATATTCGAAAGATTTCTATAATTTTATAAAAAATAAATCCCGCACGTTATTAATTTAATTATTTTACATTTTAAGATTATTTCTTATGAAAAAATATTTTATTCTATTTTAAACACTTTAATATTAAAAAAAGAATTGTTATGTTTAATTATATTTATATTTCCTGCTACTTTATAAATAAAGCCACACTATCTTTTTAATAATATTTAAACAAAAATCAGTTATAATACATAATGCTATGAATTTTTAAGATGATCTAATGTAATAACTATAATCAATTTTTTTTTTCAGTGTTCCGATAACACAACAGAGATAACCGTAATGATTCACAGTTATAAGCAGGAAGTCAATATTTACTATTGTTTCTTCTTTCGCTTATTCGTTTACGATTTCATTTTAAATATTAAAAAAGAATGATAATACATTGACACTCGTAATGTAACAGTGCTTTGTCATTGACAGATTTCAGACAATTAATTCGATGAGTCATCAAGTTATGTGAACACGGTGTTAATTGAATTATACATGACTAAGTTTCTATTAAGCGAAAAAATTAAATTCTCCTTGTGCTATACTTCCTCCTCCATACTTATCAGCGTTTCAAATGTTTTTTCAGAGAATTCTTCGCTATCTACTTGAATTATGTACACACGCATAAATTCTGATTTGACTAATAAATACCTGGTAAACATTGCGACACTTCACTATAGTCATAACCCAGTCGTTACGCAAGGTTGCATCTTCAATCCCAGACTCTATGATAATCACCTGTATTATTACTTTAAAATATTCATTTCCAGTTCTCCCAGGAACTTGATTAAAGACTGATAAAATAAAAACTCGGCCACTCTGGCCTACGTGATGAATCATCGGACCCCTCCAGGATGTCAATTAAACGAAATAAAACCTCTTTTGCGACACGTACACAGGCATACACAGTAGATCGCTCACACGTGACTAATAAACGCTTGGCGAATACATTACGACACTATCACCAACCATACAACTGCAGGTTTCACTCTTATTTCATGCGTCCTTATTCTTTCATTCAATAATTATTTGTCGAAGCACACCTGCGGTCCTCGACAAGATTCATCGATAAAAATTAGCAACTTCGATCAATCGTCGACGCAATACATCCGCACTATGATGCCCAAAGAATCATCGCGCTCAAACTCACCTTCTGCTTATGTTTGACCAGGTTCGCTCTGACATCTTCCTCCCAGGCGGCCGGCAAGGCGCTGTCCGGGAACCGCTGCACCCAGACACGCTGGAAGTCCCCAAATACGCTCATGCCTCCGGACGCGGGTGCGCGTGGGGTCGACGGCACTCCTCGTCGGCGAGTTCTCCTCAGGATCCCACGATCCCACCGTCCACTCCTCACCGCGCCGTCGTGCGCATCGCACGGGGGCGCGGCACTGTCACCACCAGTACCGTCGTCGACGGCGGCGACGACGATGACGACGACGACGACGACGTCAAGTCTCTCGCTCTTCTTTCTCTTTCTCTCTTCTTGTTTGCCGCACTCACCGTAGCTGCCGCTTCCTAGCGCGGAGCCACGTATCCTTGACTCTGTCGTGTCGGGCGGACAACGGCGTAACCAACGTCGTCATACAGCCGCTGTCATCTTGTCGACATCTCCTGCGTAGGTCACGTTCCGATCCCCGTCGCCCGCTGTATGGCCCACCTTCTGTCCTCCTCCACCTCTCCTAGCGTGCCGACGCCGCCACCGTTATACTGTGTTCGATGTAACTTCTCGCTCAATTATATACATTTTCTTTGTATATAATTTTGTATATTATTGCTATTAAAATAGATGAAAATGATCAAAATTTACGAATATTACGCGGCATTTTTGACTACTTGTTTTGACGTTAAAAATGAACGTCGACATAAAAAAGTGCCTTAAAAATACTTTGAAAGGTGTTATTACATGGAACATTCTACTTTCGCATTTAATTAGTATTGGTTTTTGCGAATACTCTATATTCTGCAATAATAAATAATGATAATAATGATATTAACAAAAGTAAGGATATATACAAAATACAAGGAAAAAGAAATTTTTCTTTATTACAGTTCTAAAAGAGATGAATTATTTTTATTTTATAGTAAAGACAAGTGAAAGAATATAGGAAAATACCTTTTTTTATCGTTACGCATCTTTCTTATGTTTAAACTTTCATAAAATTTTCGTATCCGCGTCCCTTCCATTTTGTGCCAGTTTGTGCTTCCCTTCCCGCTGTTCTTCGCCGCTCTGTGATTGGTTGACGACAATGACGACATATTAGCTTATTGCACACCGAACATGATGAACAGTATCCAATGAGATTTGCTTTTCCTCATGTAAAGCAAAACTCTCATTGAATATTGTGTAAATTGTAAACCAGCTTTAAGTGATGTGACATAACCTATGTGCATAAGTGCGCAAAAATTTAGTGTTAATAAATCAAAAGGAAGGATAGAAGGTTCTTTCTTAAACTCCTTTCACCCAAAGGTAAATTATAAAAAAAAAACGCATAAATTTCAATTACAAGAAAAATGTATTTACAATTAATCTTGTTCAAACTTGTGTATAAAAAAATTACATTATAAATTGATTTATACTTCTGCTATGCATAATGTTATAATTGTAGTAATATGTTAATTACTTAATCTAATATATTAGAGATTTTTTCTCTCTGCTCTTGTCTACTGTTTATATACTCTTTTTCTTTACACACAGCGTGTCAACAATCTACAAATTTGAATTTGTATATAAGTGATAAAACACACAAAATGGCACAAGGAAAGCTTAAAGTGAAGACAAAGCTGCCGACATCAGTAAAGACGAAAGCCAATAAAGGCAAGGGCAAAAAGGGCCCTGCTATCCAAAAACGTGGAAGTAAGTGATAATGAGAAGACAAGTTTTTCTGAATCAAATCATCTCCTTACTTCAAAATTGACACAACTCAAGAAATATAATTTTTTAATTATTACCATAAATGAGTAGTAACAATTTAATCGTATCAAAAGTAAATTGACTCGACTTCATAATTCGTCCACTAAATAAATACTTTATAATCCGTAAATTGCACTTGTGTTTTTATTTTATAGTAAATTTTCTATTAAGTTTTTCCCTTTTGTGTAAAACTTAATTTTTTAAGTTGTGTCACTTTTGTAGTAAGGGAACAATATTCTAATTAAAATAAATAATATATGAATTGTTATTTTCTCAAAGATGCCCCTGTTCAACCTAAGAAGGCAAAGTTACAGGAAGCGCAGAAATTGAAGAAGATGATCTCAAAAACTGTGAATACTGTGGTAGAAGATGAGATACGAGAGAAAGCTTTAGAGGGAAGGAAAACTCTCACAAAAAAGAATCCTTCTAATTCGAAAAAACAATAATATGTTAATTATTGTAATATTTGCATATATCAATAATGTATTGTTGTGTGTATATATATATTTTTTTTCCTCAATTAAGTAATATTGTTCTATTTGAGATTATCTATTGAAAAGGAATACGGTACGGAGTGAGATGTGAATTTTTTTCTGTTTATTGCATTCACATAACTGAAGTTTAACTTATATTTAAATAATATTTATAAATTACTGACAAGTGAATTCGCCTATCCTATCGGTTTTATCTTTATTTCTATCAAAATAAATATTGTTTAATAATATTATCTAATTTACAAGAAAATATTATACAGGAGGCCTCTATGGCACTCTGCGTCTTTCATATTTGAAACAAGAATTTGACGTAATTTGTACGTCGGAATGAAAGACCTTTCTATATATATTGTCATTTTATCACTTTTCCGTCCAAAATTACCGGAATAATTTAAAGATGTATTAAAGTATCATATATTATCTCTTCTCGATGTTTCATTATATATTCTCTAAATCACATTGTGTTAAGGATGCTTCATGTATTATAGCACCAGTTCTTTCAGTTCCCGAGAAATTCTCCTGTTTGGAATAATTTTACGGGGAAGCGACCTGAAATTTAGCGGTTTAAAATAAATACGAAGGAAAGACGATTACTCGAAAAGATTAACATGATTATTTTGAATTTCTTACTACTAATAAATGTCCGCTCTGTCGATTTTTACTAATTGCGGGAGTGGTACCAGTCCTAACTTCAATGACTCCCTCCTTACCACTGACTAGTTTGTGGGACACACTGGAACATGATATTACAAATATTAGTAGAATTAGTACAAAAGCAGCAAATAATAAATTGATTAGTTGAATTAAATCGTAATCAAATTTATTACTAAATATAAAGGAATAAATATAATACATAAAAAACTGAAAAGTACTTACGATTCGGTATTGACGATCTTAACAATGTTCGGATTGTTAGTAATATCAATCGCTTTTGTCAATGCTTCTATTAAATGCGGAACTTCTAAGATCAAGTCACCCTATAAACAGTAGTGCGTGGAAGTATCTGTTATATTTATTATGTTTTTATTAATTTTAATAAATTCCCAATTATAATTCCTTTAATTAAATTACTCTTTAATTTAATTTAGCTCATTTCAGTTATAATTGCTAAATATTAAATTATTTTCTCATTAAATAATTGATTAATTAAAATATTTATTACTGCTTACATATTTATATCATTTTACTATTAGATTGAAATAATTCGCCTTATTTAGAGTTAAAAATATTAAGATTGAAATTCAAGTTATAAAAACCTTATCCTTTTTCAATTCAGGTGGTATCCTAACGATGAGTAAATTATCCGATTCCCCGGTGACAACCAGCTCCTCGATAGCCTTGTAAGGGAGGCGATGTTTGAGCTTAAAGGTCTTAAGTGTGTCGAGAATGTATACGGCATTCTCGGTTAAAATAAGTACTCTCTCGCGTGGTTTATATCCGTGCCGATCATATTTAATGACGGGAGTGGCGTACTAAAAGTATGAATTTTAACTTCTATGAATATATTTCTATTTTATCGAATTTATTAAAATATATGTAATACAAAAAGGAAAAGCGTTGCAGTATTTTTTCAGTGATTTATTTTTACCTTTATGTTTTCTCCGGAAGTTAAAATGTTGTTGATAAAGCTCTGTCGCAGTGCCTTATACTCCTCACCAAGACGATCGGTTACAAATCTCAGACCTACACTCTTCGTATAAGATTTCTTTTTATTTTTGAATAGAGACTCCGCGAGGATCTTCAACTCAAAGTGTTCCTTATCTTCCTTATTTAATGCCATTCGATAACAACGAGCTTTCCATCGCCTGTGCATTATATGCAAATGCTCTGATGCCTGTATCATGTGAATGTTATTAGTCATATCGTATCACATTAATTTAATTGTATAATACAGACATATTTCCTATTCCGCTGAGAACTTTTATATAGATAGAGAATTTATATACAGATAGCTGAATTATTTCTTATTCTTATGCTATACCTCTTGACAAGAATATGGGCATGATGGCCAATATTTATTTAAGACACCTGGTGGCAATGTCTTCGAAAGTCTAATGAGCCATTGCGATTTCGCCAACTCGATAAATGCCTTATTAATTTCCGTAGGCGGTCCATCTCGCGTGATGAAGCCTTCAATAAATCTGTATCAATTCAGCATAATAAATATATAAATATAACTTTTTAATACATGATAAAATATAGAATGTAAAGACATGTTTTATTATAGAAAGAAAAAATAAGATTAAAGAAGAAATACCTGCGGATAGTGATAACCGCTTGTTGCCGTTTTTTGGCTTTGCGTTTCGCAAGCCACCTGCGAATGTTTTTCTGGAACACAATCGCTGCTTCTCGTATCTCTAAATATTTCCTCCTCATTAATATAGCTTTCCATTTACTCTGGATAATGGCGGCTATTTCGTGTTTCTTCATTTGAAACGCATCCTCCGTATCGAATAACGTTTTAGGAAAACGGATGAACAACTTTGTGCTGTAACGAATTTTAAGATTTTAATAATTAATGTAAAATTATTTTTAACAATTCATCGATCATTATTTCTAAAATTTGTTTGTTTTGAATTTGCAAAATACATGAATTATAATGTATAGCATGCTTAAAGCGTGATAATCGCGGTCTTACTTTCCCATCCTGTACTCGTCATACTCGTAGCCGAGATGACACACGAGCGTTTGTACGCCTTCCTTTGCCGGACCATAGTAATTCGGCCAAGTTTCCGAACAGAGACATTTGTAACGCTGCAAGAATTGCTCGTACGGTCTTCGATATGCAAAACCGGCACGTCTCACCCGCAGATTCTCCATCAGACCTAAATACTTCACTTGGTGTAGCACGATCTTTTTGTTGAATTCATCTGAAAGTGAAAGTTCAATGGATTTCATCTTAAATTAAAAAAATCTTTTTATGTCTCTTTCCTTTCTCTTCCCTTTCTATTAGACAAATTAAACAAACAAAAAATTAAATAATTTATTTTAATTTTTTTTATACATATTTATTGAATTGTATACATACTCCATATTGAGCGTTACTGATGCTTTATTTAAATTTTATCTTACATCAGGTCTACTTACGGGCCATTTTAAAATCGTTAGGTTTGATGCAACGAATGTAAGACGGTTCTTTACCCATGAGAATCTCAACCAGATTATTTAAACTGTTTTTAAATTGAGTTATGGCGGTCTCTGGACGTTTCTTACTGGTTAAATCTTTCACATCAAATACAGTCTATAAGCAACAAGAGAAATTGCAAAAATTAATTTTTGACACTTGAGAACAATTTAAAAAATGTTACTCATTTTTAAAATTTACAAATAGATTCTTTCTTATTTTCTTTCCTATGAAAAAATTAAATGTTTACCTTTGTAATGGAATTCGTAGTATGCGACATAACTTCACGTAAATCTCGAAATAGTAAATCATTGTTTTTCTCGAGAAATCCACGAACATTGTACGTAACATCACCAGCGTAATGCACTAATCTGAATTCCTAAAATGTCAATATTATTCTTATATTTTCAATTTTTCTTCTTATTCTTATTCTTATATTCTTATTCTTAATTTCGTGTGAATTCACAAATAATTATCGTAATAATTACTATAATAAATATAATGCAAGTTAGTTAACAAATATATTTTGTGTGTGTATGTATATATATATATATATATATATAATTGAATAAATTAAATGAATTTAACAAAAACAAAATAACAGAAATAATCAAATAAATAATTTAATTTTTTCTACAATATTTCGAGATATTACTATTCATGATTCAGTTTTAATATTTTATGGTATAAAATTCTTACGTCTCGTCCCATAATCTTTTGCGTTTGTATGTCAGCTTTCTGATGGCTAATGTAGTGAGGATGGTTGTTCAAATTTACATTCAATTTCTCCAAGAAGCTTATGTCCGTCGTGTCTCCAGGTCGCAAACATTCTTCGTCCATTAATGATATTATTCCTGCAAGGTTAAATATTTAATTAATAATGTACATGTGATTGCGAATGTGGATTAAAATTTTACAAAAATTCAACCTTTATACTTCTCTTCAATCAAGTCACAGATGATCTTGTTATTAAAATAATCTATGTTCTCCCAGGTTATCCCTTCGCGCAGATATTCTTCCTGTTCTGACTTCAGTGTCAGTTGGATAAACAGCTGTTGCAATTTCTCATTGCAAAAATTAATGCAGAACTGCTCAAAACTGCCGAAATAATTGAACATGATCGCCATGTTTATATCATATGTACTAGTGATAATTAATTTTTGTTAAAAAATCCTATTCTTCAAACCAAAACATCAATTTAAGATATAGAATATAAAATTAAAAAGTATATTTAAAATAATAAAATTATAAAAAAAACTTTAGAAATCACGAAAAAAATGGATTTTTCTGAAACTATTATTTATGATACTCGTAATATTTTCATAGTCTTTGACCGTAAGTAATTGTTATTTGACAGTTATACGTTTACCTGTTCTTCTGAAAGATTTCAAAGCCGTAAATGTCCAAAATGCCCATGACCATTTTGCGTCGAGGATTGGTCTGAGGCTGTAGAGATTTGTTGAGTCTAGTCACGAGCCAGGTGAATAATCTATCGTACACGGCCTTCGCTAGCGCGTCTCTCGCATAAATAGCCAATTCCCTATTCAAGGGTGAAACCACCACGTCACCGTGAGCATCTATGGTACGATGAGTAAATGCCTTTTCCAGTTGGTTCACGTCACATCCTAGCAGCTTCAATTAAGAAATGTGACGTCCAGCAATTTGCAAGTAATACATTTACGAAAAAATTTATGTGCATAACAAAATAATTAGAAAAAAAATTACATAATGAAATAATGATGAACAAAATATAAAACATAAATAACTATAACAAAACGTAAAAAGCTAATAATTTTAATACTAATATTTTCTAAATTTCGATACTTTAGCCAAACAAGCATATTAACGATCTTAATAAAAATTATTAGATTTTGGAAATAATTACCATAGCGATGGCATTGACAGATACAGGTTTCAGAATAGTTGCCACTCCATCCTCCTCCGAGAAACCCACATTACCCATGTGCAGCACCGACGCGACTATAGCAAACAGGTCGTTCTGCTCCTGCTGAGACATTTCCATAGTCTTCATCGCCCGGACGACTTCTTTGTACTGATTAGTATCGTCGATGGTATCCACTGTTCCTTTTGTCTGAGAGATCGATTTACAAATTAACAAAGAGATTGTAGAAAAACGAAAGAAGTAAAAAGATTTAAAAAAATCAAATATGAGAACCAAATAGTGGACTCACCCCGTTACTCAAGTAGAAGAAAGTATCGAGATTCCTCTTTAAGAATAATTTTCTCAACGTGTCATCGTCCGCGCCTGCTAAAAGCTGATAAAAGATATGAAAATTTCGTTCGCCCACTGATTGATGGACCACTCGAGACTTCTCCAATAAATAATTTAGGATATTTCCACCGACTGGATCTCCCTAAAAATATAACGATTATTATTTGTCGCAAAATTTTCGCGAAAATTTTCTTCAATTCTTTTTGATTCTACTTTTAAAAGAAATTCACACATTATTAGATTGACATTTCACCTGAAAATTGAACTGAACGTCCATGTACTTGCCGAAACGGGATGAATTATCATTGCGATTGGTCTTCGCGTTACCGAAAGCTTCCAACACGGGATTGCTGCCAATCAATTTATTATTCACTTCTTCTACTTGTTTTTTATGACCGGTAGCAGACGCAATAAATTCTAAGATCTTTTTGGACGCTTCCGTTTTCCCGGATCCCGATTCGCCTTAAACGCAAATAAAAGATGTAAAAATATGGAAAATAAGCTTCATAAAAAATAACAGAAAGGAATTATACAAAACTCGATGTTAAGGAATAAAAGTGCAAATTCTTACCCGAAATCAAGATGCATTGGTTGCGATTCTCTTTAGCTAGAGATTGATAGGCAGTGTCCGTAAGAGCGAAACTGTAAAAATGGATTTTTATAATTCACGAAAATACCAGTATTATTTTTTATCTTATATAGAGTGTCCCGGATATGTCGTACTTTCTCTCGCAGACGTTTTTCTTGGCGAAAGTTGTACGAATTTATTCCGGGACACTGTATATAGTAAAACAAGATGGATGCTTACATGTGAGGAGGTGCCTCGAAGAAGTTTCTCCCGTGATAGTAAAGGATGGTCTCCGGAGTATAAATGGGAAGTTTCTTATAAGGATTCACTGACACCAGTACTTGGCCAATGTACGTCTACGATAAGAAATATTTCTCTCAAGTCATTGACATCCTAAGTTTTTAGAATAGTGCATTATAACTAGAACTCTACACTGAAAAAAATGTAGTAAATATGATAAATCCTAAACTAAAATACCATTCTTATCGGGCCCTTGTGTTGATTTAATTAAAACATTTTTCTCAGTGTGTGTGATTTTACGTAAAAAGATAAAATAAAAATATAAAATAAAATTTTTTTGTATAAGAAATTTCGAACTTTCAAAATTTATTCCTTATTAATTATAAACAATACATAAAAATAGATTAAAAATACAGATTAATTAATTAATTATGTTTTCGACTCACGTAAATGAGATTCTCCTTAAATCGTTTGTGCAGATTGTCGATGAAGGCGGACTCGCTGCGAAAGTCCTCCAGCAGAACGAAGTCCTGAACGCCAACTCTATCACGTTCGTGCAATCCTCGTTCCATGTTCCCAGGCAATTTCTGGTGCTTGAAGACTTCCGATCCCGTACCAGGTTTTCTGAAGACACCCCCGGTATCGACTGTCTCTGCGCTGCAAATATCCCAAAGAATGAGTGACTCTTAAACACTTTTCAATACGTAATATAAGCTTCCCTCTCTGTCACAATTTACAACCCTATATCTATTACCCTATAAGTCTATTAATTTAGTAGAATTAATCGTAGTTAATTTAGTAGAATTAATTAGATGAGTTAAAAAAATAAAATTAAGTTTATAGAATAATAAAAAGATGGTTAGGTACTTGAAAAACCATGCAAATATTTATTGAACGTCACTTGTCATTAAAAATCTGATTGTTCGTCACTGAAAATTAAAAAAATATAAAATATAAAGAGACTTGATTTAAAGCGCTAATAAACTTCGTTTTCATTTATTTTCAAGTAACGTTAAAAATTTATTTAACAAGTAGCATGCATAAAGTCGTCGTTCTATTCGGCCTTGCGGCCTTGCAAACGATAAGAATTCAGATTAGATATCGGAGTCGGTAACGCTTGCAGACAATAGAGCAAGTAATAGATCGATCAGCAAATATTTCTATATGCACCGAATGTATGCAGATAAAGAGATAGAATTACTGAGAAGAAAAACTGAGAAAGCAAAAATCTTATACATATAGTCGATAATATGAGTTGATCGTTATACGATAGCGAAGAATCATAACGTTTCTACCTTATGCTAGTTCTGCTAGTGTAATTCCGATGAACAATAATAAAATTTGATATTTCAAATTTAACAAATTTATTCGAAGAGACATCCCCTTCGTGGAAAATTAAAATAATTAATTTTGTGATTTTTATTTTTTTAATATCAACGGAGGAACTTCGTATACTCACCCCATATTTTTGAGATTCTGTTGCTACTTTTTTTTTACACCTACAGTATTCACAGGGAAAGAAACATGAAATTAATTCTATTATTTTTGTTTCTGTATTATTAATCGCGATCGCAGATTTTGATTTAAGTCTAGATCTTGCTACTTGGTTAGGATAAATGCAAATTTGTCAGATAAGATAATAATTCGTTGATTCACGACATCTGATTGCAGGATTCAAGCGGAAGAGATTAGATGATTGGAAAAGTGTGATTCCAAATCATTGTATAAAGATTTTGTTTAATCGATTAGATCATCTTATTGTATGGAAATTTAGATAGAAGTTGAAAAAATTTATTTATAAGAAAGACTACTGTTAAAAAACTTTATCATATTTCCCGAGTGTTGTATTATTGCTTGAAGAACTTATACATATATGAAAACAATCAATATAATTATTTAGAAGATAACGAAAGATTATGACAAGGATTATTCTAGAAATATAGTAAGCAAACATTTTCGCGTGAATTTTCAATGCTGAAGCGATTCACATGTCTCTCTTTAATATCTCATTGCATCGACAAAACATGTAGCTCTTTTCTTCGAAGCGATCTTCAGAAAACTAATTAAATTTATGCTAGATAAAAAAAATAGATGCGCAAGATAATTTCGGAAAATTTTGTCAATATTGTATCTGTCTTGTGAACTTCCTCCAATTTTGCAGAATACACTTCTATTTTTTCCAATGATAAGCTATGTATAACGCAGTTAGATTATTTATAATAAATCTTTCGCATTGTAAGAATTTTACATCTATAATTCACTTTTTCTTTCTTTCATGCAAATAATAAAATTTTTCTATAACGAACACGTGGATCGTTCGCGCAATGTAAGATTTAATTGTGAAAGATCACGAATCGAGTAGAAGACAGTCTGTCATCGAATTCGACAATGTAAACACACAATCACAAGAAAATTGATGTTATTTCGATGTTTAGTTCGACGTGTCTTGATTCACACGACATACAGGGCGGAGAAAAGAATCGCGCGTTTACTGCTTCGAGGAGAGATATCAATTAAGGAGAAACTGGAGAACAGAAGAACCACCTTATAACTACTGCTCAAGAATGACCTAGCGGTGACCACCACCTTCCGTCTATCGCCCATCGGCGACGTCGTTTCCCTCTCCCGCTCTTCTCTCGTTATCCGTGCACGACTGATAGCGGAACGAAACGGCTTAATAGCGAAATATATCGAGAGGATAAAACCGGCGTAAGAATAGCTCTTGTCGAGCAACAAGTACACAATTACACGCATAAATAACCGGCTTGCCTCGTTTCTTGTACTAACAACTTTATCAAAAATAAAAAAAAATTTCGTACCAAGTGATTTTCTATAAGCAGCGATTTTCAAATACTAATATTAAAGATTTTCAGAAAAATAATTACGTATCATTATATTCTATATTTCGTTTAATTAGCATTTCGTCTATAAAAAAACAGAATACGATGGCTACGTTCAGAAAAAAAATAATTTTGCAACTGTTGTAAATTATTTTAATATAATTTAAGATCTTACTATTAGTTCTTCACTGAATCTAAATTATATAAATCGATTATACATATATTAAAGAATTTTACAGCAGTTGCAAATTGTTTTTTTCTGTTAAACATAAATGTAATCTTAGAAATATAATTTCCGCAAATACTTGTTATATTAAGTTAAATTATAACAAATAAATTAAATATTGTTATATCAAATTTCTATTGTAATTAATAATTTTTTCATATTGATCAACATGGACTTTACGAGCACATTAGAATTCGTAATAATGATTAAAATTAGAAATACAAGAAAGATTATTGTTCTTTAAGTCATGCAACATGTAATTCAAGTTTTAGAGATTGTTCCGCCATGTAAAATGCCGAAATGCAATTGCAGATTAATCGGTGCAAAACTGATGTTAATCGATGATAAAACGCTGATAAACTCCACAATAAAGTCCCGCATATCTAATCTAATCTAATCTCGAATTATTCTTTCTAGACACGTCATACAACAAATTCCTGCAGAAACTAATAAAAATATTCGTGACTTTTCGCAATACTATCGATACTATCGTTGTGTAAGATCCAATCGTATAATGTTCTCGGTATGCAATTTTTATCGCAATATAGGATTTACGTCGCATTGTTGCGTTAATCGTCGTATTAATCTGTTGAATCGATCGATTCTCAAAACGCGACGACAAAGGACAAACGTCGAACATTACTTCACGCTTATAAGTTTAATCAATTGTTATTATTATATCAATTAAAATATGTAGATATTATGAGCGGAGCTACGATCATCTCAACCGTTTAATAATTTATCACGATCATTTACTTATTATCTTTATCTTTTAATTATGTATTTAGATACAATCTAAACACGATATGAAATATTAATTTCTTCAAAGGATGCTAAGGAACGTACAATCGATACTCGCAAACAAAGAGAAGACTAACTTGGGAAAAGAGAGGAAGAGAAAGGGAGAAAGTGCGTTATGTTATTATTAACTCTGAAGATTGACAATTAAACAATGTTTATCTCCGCAAACCAGTTTGTCTTTCGTGGAAGCGAGGAATCGATATGACTCATTGATATTCCGGTCATGAACCTCCGTTCGGTAAGCAATTTTTTTCTTTTCCTTGACGGATATCGAAGAGAGCATCGCAAATGCGGGTCGCGACGTATCGACATGCATATGGTGTCGTTACGGTGGAGGAAATTATCAATCGCGGCTCGCACAAAGAGAACCGTTGTCGCGACTCGCTGCTATCGAAAATATTGCGTCCGTAAACTGCCGAGGGCAGACAGAAAACCAGTCACGTACGTTCTATGTAAGCTGCTTCGATTTTATAATTTGTTTTTCCCTTCGTATGAGATGAGTCACGCAAAAGAGACGAGCGAGACACGTTTAAACCGTGTCTATCATCGTACGTTGAAAAAGCAGTCCAGATAAGAGTGCCATTTACGTGCGACTTGTCGTAATTTTTTGTGTCTTCTGCGTACGAAATGTAATCTCTACATTTTTGGAGTGGAATCTCACTCTAAAAGACGAAAGCTAATCTTAAACAAAAAAGAGTGACTTAATTTTCAAGTTTAAAAGTAAGATTTCACTCTTTAGAGTAATAGTTCATTCTAAAAATTTTAGAGAGTACGAATCGTCCGATCTAAAAAAAAAAAATAGATTTGTCTTTTCGGTGACAAATCGATTGGCCAATCTACAGGCCAATCTGAGGTTTCTCTTTAATGATAAGGTTGTTCGCCGGAAATTTCCAATTGGCGTGATGTCCTTTATTTGATTAACCCGAGGATGGAATCGATCGCGCGTGCTTCTGCGCCGCGCTAATATACGATCGCACGAAACGGAAAGTCGTCCCGCTGCATTTTTCTGCACCCGGCTCTACACGGCCGAATCAGAGACGCTGACGTAACGCGCGATGAGTCAAAGGGAAAAAGGGGGTCCTTGGGACCAGTCAGGGAATACCTAGTGAATAAAAAAAAATCAACGAGACATTTTAACGGGAGGTCGGTCCCGCGCAAAAATACGCGTGATATATAAGGATATGTTGCGTCGAAAAATTCTATCGAGGTTGACAGCGACGATGATGAGGAACGCCAGGGCACGTATTATATGGAACTGTTTGAAATGGATCCCCATCGAAATTTCATTTTTCTTAGAAAATAATAGAAATATACAGAATAATGGAAATTACATGGACAATTTTGATCGAAATTCATTCCGAACCAGTGAGCTCTATGGTATACTATAAGAAACGAGGTGACAAAAGAGAGGGAATTTACTAGAATACTTATAATTTTATTAGTTAATCTAATACATTTGCTCACTTTTGTGACCATAATTTTCATCTTGTTTTGAGATATGCAATCAACCCCCTAAAGTGAACCTTTTCTATACAAATACTATTATAAAAAAACTATACAGCTTGACGAAGAAAAGGAAGGTATACAAATATTTGTCTTTCTAACTCTTCTACTTGTAGTAGAATTAGCCAATCGATCTGTCGAAAACACACTAAGAAAGATTAAAGGTTAAAGTAAAGGTTGGACGAATATAATATTGCTAGTTCAATTAGTTAACTAAGATAAATGAATAAATTTAAATGTGTTCTTGTCAGTAAGTTCTTTAGTATCACATTTAGTATCACATAAAG